CGCCTTGGCCTCCCAGAGTGCTAGGAGTATAGGTGTGAGCCACCGCGCCCGGTCAAGATATATACTTTCTACTTTATATGATTATATTTGTGTAATAAGTGCAGCATAGAATTGTAAAGAGATGCTATCGAGCATAGATAAGGGAGGGAATACTTCCGGTTTAGAGGTATTGGGAGTAGAATAGCGGGTAGGAAGACTTCAGTAAAGTTTTATATAGGACATAGGAGTGAGCTAAATCTTAAAAGAATGGGTGAAATTTGAACGTACATAAGAGGAAATAGTTTGACCAAAAGCAGCAAGTCAGCACAGGTAGTTTGAGGAGAGGGTGGCACTCCACTTTGGCTGATGCTTAAAGGTATTGAGGAGGAGATTACTCAGGGCTACTTTATGGAACACCTTGAAAACCAGACTAAGAACTTTCCACTTTACTGTCTGATACTGGAGAGCCGTTGAATTGTTTTGTTTTGTTGTTTAGTGAAGGACACAGAGGAGTGAGTTGTTCAGAATTGTACCTTGATCATGGAGAAAATATTGGATAGAGTAGACTGAGCCTTGCCATTTCACATATGGGCAGAGAGCATAAGCATCACCTGGAAACTTGTTAGAAATGTAGATCTGCAGACTTCATTCAGCCTAGATGTTCAAAATCAGAATCTACATTTTAACAAGTTCCTCAGGTGATTACTGTGCACATTAAAGGTTGATCAGCTCTGGGTTAGAAGACTAGACAGAGAAACCAAAGTGAGAGAAACTTGGAGAATAATTACAGTCATTCTGATAAAAGATTTAAAGCATAGGAATACGAAGGATTGTATAGATTTTTTTTTTTAGATTGTGGAAGACAAATTTCTAGAACTTAGCTACTATTTCAATGAGGACTATATCCAAGGTAATGAAAATTTCTAAGGCTGGGCCTGCTGGCTCATGCCTGTAATCCTAGCACTCTGGGAGACCAAGGTGGGAGGATCACTTGAGGTCAGGAGTTCGAAACCAGCCTAAGGGAGACCCTGTCTCTACTTAAAATAGAAAAATTAGCTGGATGTGGTGGTGTGCACCTGTAGCCCCAGCTACTTGGGAGGCTGAGGCAGGAGGATCACTTGAGCCCAGGAGTTGGAGGTTGCAGCGAGCTATGATGACACCACTGCACTCTAGCTGGGATGACAGAGAGAGATTCTGTCTTTAAAAAAAAAAAAAAGGAAGTTTCTAGTCTGGGTGACTTGAAGGTGAGTAAAGTCAAGTGTGGGTTAAAGAAGTTAATGAGTTTGTTTTTTTTGACATGTCTTACATTTGTAGTAAATGTTTGATAATGGTTCCTTGAATTGCAGTAAAATTGAATGTATATCCAGATAGAGATTGCCAGTGGATTTGAATGTGGGACTGAATTTTAGGAATGAGGTTAGGTTTAGCAACATAGATTGAGAGTCATCTGCACTGAAGTGATAACTGAAGACAAAGGAGAGATGAACTCACAAAGAAAAGATGTGTACTGTAAAAAGTGAGACAGCACAATTTTAAGGAGCTTTTACAATAACGGGCTGGAAAAAGATCAGGTGTTAATTTTTGGTATCAGAATGATTTGTGATGTAATGATAATGAATTAGTGACAGACATAATTTCTCTCCTGTTTTCCCTTTCTTTTAACTGTTACAGACCAAGGCTTTCGCAAAGATGGATATTTTGGTGACTGAGACAGAAGAACTAGTAGAGAATATACTCAAGTGGCGAAAACAACAAAATGAAGTTTCTTCTTATATCCCCAAAATATTAGCTGAAGAAAATTATCTTCATAAACATGACATTATTATGCCTCCTTTACCTTTTACTTCTACAGTTCCTATCCAAACTATTATTGCCAAGTGATCATCAACTTTATTTTTGCTTAATTATATGTAGTCATATATAAAGTCCATTTCTAGTTAATTGTGACATATTTTATAGGCTTTGCTGCTAGCAATACTGAAAGAGCCCTCTTTCTATTGGAGGATTCAGGTTCATTAAGACCAAACTGACTTTTTCTTTGTTTTTCATCTATTTTCATTCCACTTTTCAGTAAAGCTACTGAAGATTAAATATAATTATGACGATCTATTAACACAAGTGAATTAACCATTTCTCAAGCAGTAAATTCTTTATTGTCTCTTTAAAAAATGCATGTTTCTGAATTAGAAAGTCTTCAATTGAAAATGCCTGTGGTGATTATTCCTGTGGAATTGTCAGTGAATATGCAGAACAGAATAACATAGCAGGCTTCTCATCCTTTGAAAGGTCTGCTTACAAGGTTGGTCCTTGGCTGGTGCATCTGAGAACTTAGATATTAGAATGTGTCTTAGTCCATTTTCTGCTGCTATAACAAAATACCACAGACTGGATAATTTATAAAGAACAGAAGTTTATGTGTCTCATGGTTCTAGAGGATACTAAGTCCAAGAGCATGCATGGCACCAGAGTCTGGCAACAGTCATGCCATGGCAGAAGGCATCACATGGCCAATGAGCATGAGAGATATGGGGCCAAACTTATTCTTTTATCATAACAAAAGGGTTCCTTCTACACACTGATGAGAGTGGTTCACTGTGACTAAGCTGTTAGTACAATGTGGTTTGTAGTGAACACCTGCTTTCCTTCTGGGAGTCTAGAATTTTGGTACATGCTAGGTAGAAATTAAATATGTGACCAGCCCCCAGTAAAAACCCTGGGCACTGCGTCTCTAACGAGCTTCCCTGATAGACATTTCACACGTTGTCACAATTCAGGCGCTGGCAGAATGAAGCACATTCTGTGTGACTTCACTGACAGAGGACGTTGGAAGCTTGTGCCTGGTTTCCCCTGTGCATCTTTTCCCTTTTCTGTTTTGTTTTTGCTGTAGTAATTCACAGCTGCAAGTGTGATGATATGCTGAGTTCTGTGACTCCTCCTAGCAAATCATTCAATCTAGGGGTAGTCTTGGGGACCCTGACACACTAAGCAATTCCTGAGGGTGTTTGCTGGCAGCCTTAGGAATAGGAAAGAAAAAAGGTAGAACAAATAAAAGAAAAAGTCACATTATGGTAAAACTTTAGAGGTTTACCTTGTAAATCCTCAGATATTTTACCTATCTGAGGTTATTGTGCATATAATAGGAAGTCGTAGTAATACTGCCTCAAGATGTACTCATTTTTGTTAGTACTATACCCCTGACTTATTTTATTTTTAGACTTGGGGTTCTGTTTTGCTTTAAAATCTGTATATCAGTATTTTTATACTGTTCTCTGTATCTTACGGGTTCACTGAACCTTGTATTCATCATACTCCTTAACACAAGAAAACTTCAACAGTGATGAGTAAAGAAGTTCATAAGGAAGCAGGATCATTACCAAAAAATACGCTGCTAAAACAACAGGAATCATATTTTGAAGCCTACTTTGCTAATTTTTGCAAATGGGATATAGAGGAGTGATTATAATATCTTTTTTTTTGAGACGGTCTCACTCTGTTGCCCAGGCTACGGTGCCTGCCTAGCTTACAGCAACCTCAAACTCCTGGGCTCAAGCCATCCTCCTGCCTCAGCCTCCCGAGTAGCTGGGACTACAGGCATGTGCCACCATGCCCGGCTAATTTTTTCTATATATTTTTAGTTGTCCAGATCATTTCTTTCTATTTTTTAGTAGAGATGGGGTCTCGCTCTTGCTCAGGTTGGTCTCGAACTGATCTTGAGCGATCCACCCGCCTCGGCCTCCCAGAGTGCTAGGATTACATGTGAGCCACTGGGCCCGGCCTGCCTGGTTTTTCTATTTTAGTCTTTTCTCTGATCTGTGACTCTGCCAGACTAATCCCTGATTTATCCTCTCAAACCTCCAATAAAGGCATGAAGATAGTCTGCGGAATAGGAGAACCTAAAAGGTTTTTTGACATGCAAAATCTTTAATAGAGTTGGGATATCAATAAAACTGTGATTAGTATATTATGGGATTTCTTTAGATCCCTGTAAAACAAATTTACATAAAAGATTCCACAATTTGAGGAATCCAGTCATGTAAGTGAATTTATTGAACTGTGTGTATCCACTTATATGTGAAATCTCTTTGATAAATATATTGGAAGATTTTTTGGAGTTTTGTGACGATTTGAAAAAACCTGAAGATGAACCATGTAGCCAAGAAATATAAAAAAAAAAAAATAAGAAAAAGGTATGTCATAAATGCATAAAATATATTTAGATACTGGTTCATTTTATTCTTGTGTATTTTTCATCATGTTTAGTGCAATACCATAAACCGTGAATAACACCATGGCACCCCTATGAAGTGCCACTAGTAATGCTAGAAGTGCTCCCAAGAAGCAAAGAAAAGCCATGACATTACAAGAAAAATTTGAATTGCTTAACATGTACTGTAGATTGAGGTCTGCAGCTGCAGTTGCTCACCATTTCAAGGTAAATGAATCTAATATAATGTAAGGAGTTCAAGACCAGTCTGAGCAAGAGTGAGACCCCATCTCTACAAAATATAGAAAACTTAGCCGGACGTAGTGGCACATGCATGTAGTCCCAGCTACCGCAGATGTTGAGGCAGGAGGATCACTTGCACCCAGGAGTTTGAGGTTGCAGTGAGCTATGATGATGCCACTGCACTCTAGCCCAGGCAATAGAGCCAGAATCTGCCAATCATTCTATCAATAAATAAAAAAATAAAAAGTAAATAAAAAGAAAAAATGAAGCTATCGGAGATTACTGGGGCTGACCTAAAAGTCAATGAGGCTTCCGCTGGCCAAAGCTGGGGCTATTTGGCCATGAAGAGAAATAGTAACTGCAAAGGCCTGAAGCAAAGCAAATAAGCTTAAATCTGTGAGTTTATAATGATACTTAAAAAAAGAGAAACCTCATTAGCTGCCTTTTGAGAGTGCTAGCAAACCATCTTATTTTGCAAACTGGTAAATAAAAGGATCAAGCATTTGTCTTGCCTTTGCTATGTGAACTGTACCTCAGGGTAACCAAATAGTTGATGAGGAGAAGTTGTTCTTTGTAGAAGTATTTTAGATCATAAATGAAGAATGATAAAATCAGAATATCATCACTTTGCAAACCCAAATGAAATGATGACCTAATTAGCTTGGATGATGATCATTAGTGGTTGCAAATAGCATAAAAAAAGACAGGTGCCTATTGATTTAATTGGCACTCTGGATTAAACTACCATCTGCAGAAAATACAGAGAATAAAACAACATTTAAATATTACTACGGGGATCAATCTGCAAGATCTAGTCGGTGGGCAATTTATAGGAAAATGGCCTGGTTTTTTTTTCCTTTTTTTAAATTTCAAAATATTAAGGGAGCACCAATGTTTTTGTTACATGGATACCTTTTATAATGCTTAAGTTGGGCCTTTTAATGTGCTCATCACCTGAATAGTGTTCATTGTACCCGATAGGTAAGTTTTTACCCCTCCCTCCTTCTTGACGGCCAGTTACCTTTACATCTCTTTGTGCCCATGTGTACCCATTGATTAGCTCCAATTATTGGGAAGTACATGTGGTGTTTGTTTTTCCATTCCTGGGATACTTCAATTAGGATAATGGTCTCCAGTTCCATCCAAGTTGTTGCAAAAGACTTTATTTCATTCCTTTTTATGGCTGAGTAATACTCCATGGTATATCTATATCACATTTTCTTAGTGCACTCATGAATTGATGGGCATTTAGGTTGATTCCACATCTTTGCAATTTTGAATTGTGCTGCGATATATATTTCAGTGCAGGTGTCTTTTTGATAAAATGACTTCTTTTCCTTTGGGTAGATACCCAGTAGTTAGATTGCTGGGTCGAATGGTAAGACTACATTTATTTCTTTGAGAAATCTCCATACTGTTTTCCATAGAGGTGGTTCTCATTTGCAGTCCCACCAACAATGTATAAGCATTCCTTTCTCTCTGCATCCATGCCAGCACCTATTGGTTTTTGAGTTTTTAATAATGGCCATTCTGACAGGGGTAAGGTGTTATTTCATTGTAGTTTTAATTTTTTTTAAAAAATAAGTGCCAAAGGGGAGAAAGAGAGGGACAAGAAAGCTATAAGATTAAAAGACACACCAAACTTTAATCTGGATACTGATTTAAACAAAGAGACTGTTAAAAAAAACACTTATGAGACAATCAGAGAAATATGAACCCTGAATATTTGATGGTATTAAGAAACAAATGTTCTTGGATAATGGTTTTGTGGTTATGTCAAAAAGGGAGTCCTTGGCTGGGTGTGGTGGCTCATTCCTGTAATCCTAGCATCTGGGAGGCCAAGGTAGGAGGATCAAGTGATTGAGGCCAGGAGTTCAAGACCAGCCTGAGCAATATAGTGAGACCCCCCATCTCTACAAAAAAATTTTAAAAATTAGTCAGGTGTGGTGGCACATGCCCGTAGGCATAGACTGGTCTTTAACTCCTGGCCTCAAGTGATCCTCCTGCCTCAGCCTCCCAAAGTGCTAGGATTACAAGCATGAGCCACTGCACCCAGCTGGAAATAAAATATTTGTTAAATAATTGATTACCTGCATAGTCCCCTCTGTCACTTTCTTCAAATCTATTTAAATGTCACCTTATCAGTGAGGTCTTTCCTGAAGACTCTGTACAAAATAGCACATTTCCTCCTGCCTACACACACAGAGACTATTACTATATTTCCTCACTTTTGTTAAAATAGAGATCATACTGACAGAATGAACTCTGTGGCAATAAAATGCCAAATTATAAACAGGATCTAAGGTCATGCCAGGAAAGGGTTAAATACCCCTACACTTAAAGAATAAACTATGTTCTAACTACCACAAGGGTTTTGTTTTTTTCTAGCAACTAAACAAGCACTGGCCTCAAGATAAGCAATACTGAAACAACTGCAGCTCATCCACCGCTGGATGCTAATTGACCCCAGTTGCACAAGGCATAACTACAGCTTTCATTGAACAAGAGAGACTGATTTCAGTAATTTTCTCTTGGTAAGAGATCACTGACCATGGACTGGTTCTGGCTGGTTTACAGAGGCTGTGAGCTGAGTGCCTTTATGTCCCTGCTTCATCTTTTGATGTATAGGGCTTAATTGAAATACATTTATATGTTAAGTTTCCATCCCCTAGTGAACACGGAACCTATGTAACATGCATGTTTGCTTATTATACATGTACATGTCCTCCCATTCATGAATGTTCATAGCTCCTCCTATAACCTGTTGAATATGTATACTTAGCCAACCTCTTCAGCATAAATTTCTCTCTGAACCTCCCTCCCTCAAAGTTCCTGTCTCTGGTTTCCTCTGCTTCCCTGCCTGAAGGCTGTGATCCCCTTCTTAGGAAATAAAGCTTTCCTCTTCTACATTTATAGGATTCATGATTTTAAGTTGACAGTTTTTAAAATTGCACTTATCACCATTTGACATGGTATATATTTATGTATTTATCTATTTCCCCCCTTCCCTGTAGATTCTAATTTCCATAAAGGCAGAGACTTTGTTTTGACACTGTATCCTCAGTGCCTTGGATCAGTGCTTGATTCAATAGCACTTCTTGGGTGAACTAATAAAACAATTCTGGGCCGGGCGTGGTGGCTCAAGCCTGTAATCCTAGCACTCTGGGAGGCCGAGGCGGGTGGATTGTTTGAGCTCAGGAGTTCGAAACCAGCCTGAGCAAGAGCGAGACCCCGTCTCTACTAAAAATAAAAAGAAATTAACAGGACAACTAAAAATATATAGAAAAAATTAGCCGGGCATGGTGGCATATGCCTGTGGTCCCAGCTACTCGGGAGGCTGAGGCAGAAGGATCGCTCGAGCCCAGGAGTTTGAGGTTGCTGTGAGCTAGGATGATGCCACGGCACTCTAGCCCAGGCAGCACAGTGAGACTCTGTCTCAAAAGAAAAAAAACAAAACAAAACAATTCTGATCAGACAGTACTACCACAAACACTGCCAGGGTTGCCATGAGATTACAGCACAATCGAGAGAAGCTCGCCAGTAAGCACCCTAAATTTCTCTTCACGCTCCAAATGCTCCATGCAAGGAACTGCAAAACATCGGGGTTGCCCATTTCATTTCTGCATCTATATATATATATATATATATTTTTTTTTTTATGAGACGAGGTCTCGCTGTGTGGCCCAGGCTGGATCATCGCGCACTATAGCCTCTAATTCTGGGTTCAAGAGATGCTCCCGCCTCAGCCTCCCGAGTGGCTGGGACTACAGGAGCCTGCCACCTGTGCAACACCGCACCCGGCTTGCCCCTAAAATTTAACCATAGAACTGACAGCTCAGTCCAATGTAGTGAGTAAAAATATTTAGCAAGCCAGGCGGGCGTGGTGGCGCACAGCTGTAGTCTTAGCTACTCGGGAGCCTTAGGCGGGAGGACTGCTTGTGTACAGGAGTTGGAGGCTGCAGTGAGCTATGATGGAGCCACTGAACTCCAACATAGGCGACAGAGAGACCTCGTTGCTTAAAAAAAAAAAAAATAGCAAATTACATTACAAACCTTCGGACGTTAACCAAAACGGATTTACTTGACTCTACGTTGCACGGACATCGAGTTCAAGAACAAAGGCTATCTCCCAGTATGCAGGGCCGGGAACTACAGCCTTAGTCTACCCCCTTGCGACCACACGATTCAGGATTGGCAGAAGCTCTGCAAGCACCCCCTGGGCGGGGCAGCAGCGCGCGCATGGGCAGTGGGGGCGTCCCAGGAGACGAACAGGGTGGAGCGAGTGGGGGCGGGGCCGAGCTCCCCCGCCCAGTAGGCTCAGGATTGGCCAACGCTCTGCCGGCACCGCCCCTCTCGGGGTGCGGCGCGCGCTTGGGAGGAGGCATCTCCGGAGGCGTGTGGGGTGGAGCGAGGCGGGGCGGGGCCGGGTGTCCTCCCGCCCACCTGGCTCAGCATTGGCCGATGCTCCGCAGGCTCCGCCCCTCTCGGGTTGCGACGCGCTCTTGGGCGGGGATGTCCCCAGAGACGCGTGGGACGGGCGGGGCTGGGGCAGAGGATGCAGCCGCTGGGCTGACCTGCCGGACTAGGGTTGTGGCCGAGGGATGGCGAATGTGCGAGTGGCTGTGAGGGTCCGGCCCCTCAGCAAGAGGTGAGTGTAGGCGGGAGGGGGCGGCTGAGACGTCAAGTGAACTGAGAGGAGCGCGAGGTCCCCGCCTACCCCTCAAGAGATTCTGGCGCGAAGAAATCAGACACAAAGTGACCCGGGGGTTCAGGGTCCGGAAACCGTGAAGGCCTGGCGGGACAGGGCCTCTGGCGAGCTTTCGCGTCGTGCTGTGGGCGATAGCGGTTCCCATATGGCCTAAAAGGAGGGCCGCCCCGTGCGAATATCCCGGGCGTCCTGCCAACAGGAGTTTCGAGGGACCGCTGCTCAAGTCTTGAGGCACCGGCTTGGGCCTTTCTCCCTCGGCTCGTTGAGAAAGGCTGGGAGAAGGGTGGGCAGTCTCCTCTTGTCTCCTTCGTGGCTCTGGAGTGCCCATGAGGACTGAGGCAGAATGGTGTGTGTTTCTGGGAGCACGTGAGTTTCTCTGCGAAGATGTGGAGAAAGCAGATTGTAAGGGCGTTGAGAGGGAAATTGAGGCCCAGAGAGATCGTGGTTTCAAGTATGCTGACAGCTGACTTGATCAAGGGCAGAACTGGGAAGTAGGGGAAGTTATTCCCATCTCTTCCTTCAGCGTCCTGAGTGCTCGTTTCCTCATGGGTAAATCTGATCCTGCACCTCTCCGCTCTTGAGGCAGCCAATGTCCAGCCACATAATTTCTTCTCTTTCTCAATAATTTTCCACTCATGTTTGGAAAGTCAGGGAAGGCTTTGCAGAAGGATTGGTATTTGAACTGTTTTTTTAAAGATTTGTTAGAGTTTGCTGATGGAGAAAGTGTTAGGAGCCCTTTATGTAGTAAGAAATATTAATACCAAGAGCAAAGGCCTTAGGCTGTTAGGGAACAGAGAAAAGTTTTAGTTTGGGGGGCGGGTGTTGTGGGAGAGGGAGTGATAGAAGATAAAGCTGGTGGAGCGTGGGTTTGGGACCGGAAGGCACATACTGGAATCATTTGGGAAGTTTAAAATTTCCAGGACAGGCCAGGTGCAGTGGCTCACGCCTGTAATCGTAGCATTTTGGGAGACTAAGGTGGGAAGATCACTTGAGGTCAGGAGTTTGAGAGCAGCCTGAGGGAGACCCCGTCGCTACAAAAAATAGAAAAATTATCTGGGTGTGGTGGTGCACACCTGTAGTCCCAGCTACTTGGGAGGCTGAGGCAGGAGCATTGCTTGAGTCCAGTGGTTTGAGGTTGCTGTGAGCTATCATGACGCCATTGCATTCTTGCCCAGGCAACAAAGTGAGACTCTGTCTCAAAAAAAAAAAAGTCCAGGACATGAAAAGAATTTGTCACTAGTGGGGATTATGTTTGTCCTCCTATAGAAGTGATTGGTTTTGAAAAGTCTTGTAATTAACAGAATAATGAGAAGTGTAATGAGAAGGGGGAAAGAAACAGAAAGAAAAGAATAGGAAAGGGCAGAAGAGGTACAATGAAGAAAGAAGGAAAGCGGCAAGTGCCTAAACTGTTGTGCTTTGATTAGTAAATGGCTTATGACAGACATCTGGCTTCTGCATAACTGGATGTGGGTTGGCCCAGGAATGGGGTAGGGGGTCAGGGGTAGGATTCACAGGTGCAGCTGCTACCCAGGAGGTAGCCTCTGGTAGATCCTGTTTTTGCAAAACTATTCTTTTTGGGTTCTCAGGATAACAGTATTGACCAGTCCTAACAGTAACTTCTCAGTTCCTTGGAAACTGGAAATTTATAATAGCATTGATTACATTAAGAGAATGGTGTTGAAATTGGGTTGTTACTGGCAGCCATGGTAGAGGATAACATATCTCATGAAACAAAAGTGAAAGGAAAAGAGGAGCACAACAATTTGTTTACTTTTAGCTCAAGTTAAGCACCTTAAACAGCAAGAGGTAGAATGCCAAGACTGCAGATATCCAGGTGTGAGCAGATATGGATAAAACCCAGTGTGGCTCAAGCTAAGAAGTCCAGACCACTTTTCTCTTCTCCCAGAATCCTTCAGAGATGACAGCTTATACTCCAAGGTGTGTTAACATCTACCGTCTTTGCTGAGGCTTATCTGAATGTGAGGAATCTGCTGATGATGTGGTTTGTTCCAACTTTCAAATCATTGGCACAGATTCAGTTAACAAAGTCATCGGATCTGATGTTGTACTTGGGAAGAAATCTTACAGATGATCTGGCCCAAGCTTCCATTTTTCGTTTTTCCAGATGAGAAAATGGTCTTGTTTAAGGCCTAAAAGTAGTAGAACCAAGATTTGATTCAGCAGACCACATTGCTCCTTTTTTTTTCCTTTCCCCATCAGTCAGCTCTTCATCCTTTTCACCAGCTCCTCCTGCAAGGTTATGGCGGCCAAATAAATGTGAGGCTAGGGCAGCCCAGGTGAGGCTCCTTACTTAAATGCCTCTCCCCCTGGGGAGGATGCCTGGCCTGTCTACTGTAGGCTTAGCTGAGGGGAGGAGGAGTAGGCTGAGCCCACCCCCCAGGAAACCAAGCCAGGCTCCTTCTTGAGACTACAGAAGAGTTGCCTTCTTTCTCAAATACTCGTTTATTGAGTAGGACTAGAATTGACCCTCAATAAAATGATAGTACTGTACAGGAAATGTTTTTGGTGTCGTCCCTCTATTTCACAGTTGTTTCCCATAATCAGAAATTCCGTATCTCATAATGAGATAGTGCCCCTTGTCTATCCAGAAGCATTCACCATTGAGAGAAGATGTGTGGTCTGCTAATACTGTAGGCTCTGGAACACTCCCCACTGTGCTGTCAGAAGTTACTTTTCACACACTACATAGCTTTCTGTTCCTCTTCTTTTTTTTATTTTTTTATTTATTTTTATTTTTTTGAGACAGAGTCTGGCTCTGTTGCCCTGGCTAGAGTGCCGTGGCATCAGCCTAGCTCACAGCAACCTCAAACTCCTGGGCTCAAGCGATCCTCCTGCCTCAGCCTCCTGAGTAGCTGGGACTACAGACATGTGCCACCCTGCCCGGCTAATTTTTTCTATGTATTTTTAGTTGTCCAGATAATTTCTTTCTATTTTTAGTAGAGACGGGGTCTCGCTCTTGCTCAGGCTGGTCTCGAACTCCTGAGCTCAGAACGATCCGCCTGCCTCGGCCTCCCAGAGTGCTAGGATTGCAGGCGTGAGCCACCGCGCCCGGCCTAGGACAGTGATTCTTAAACTATTAGTATACATAAAATTCACCTGTGGAGCTTGTTATACTGCAGCTTGTTAACATTCCTGGGCCCCCAAACAGAAATTTGAATTAGCTCCTCTCCTATCACCGTAATTCTGCTGCGGGCAGCCCGTGGACTTACCCCTTTTCAAAACCTTTAACCCTAATGAATGAACGCCTATTGGTATATCCCAGAGGTAGGCGTTAGGAGCAGCCACTCTGTCTTGTTTAAGGCTCCACCTCAGTAGATTTAAATCGAGCTCTTTAAGGCTAGCTCTCTGAAAGGCTGGTGCCTTTTCTATTCTGTTTAACTTTAGCCCTCATTTTGTTCTGGGATATTTTGGAACTACTAGGTTACCAATGGCAGTGGTCTAGGTAGGGGAGGAGCAGCATCTCACCCCCCTATAGTGTCACATCTTTCTGCCAAGAGGTCAAGTTTGGGACACTTTTTCTTTTTTCTCCTTTGCTGCTTTATGCGAGAGAGTCCCAAATGAATCTTCACAAAAAGGCAAATTTTAAAAAATTGGATAATAGATTTTTTTTTCTTTGAAACAGGGTCTTTCTCTGTCACCTGGGCTAGAGTACAGTGGTGTCATCATAGCTCACTGCAACTTCAAACTTCTGGGCTTGAGCAATCCACTTGCTTCAGCCTCCCTAGTAACTGGGACTACAGGTGCATGCTACTGCACCCGGCTAATTTTTTTTATTTTTTGTAGAGACGGGGTCTCACTATGTTGCCCAGACTTGTCTTAAACTCCTGGCCTCAAGGGACCCTCCTGCCTGAGCCTTCCAAAGTGCTAGGATTATAGGCATGAGTCACGGTGCCTGGCCCCAGATAATAGATTTGAAAATTTTATTGTATGATTTTTTTTCTTTATTGTCCTAATTTACTATAATTGGTGTATTTTATAGTGGGTAGAGGGATAATAATATACCAATATTAAGATGCAGAAAGAAAAAAGTGTTATAAAATGTTAACACCAAAGATGAAAGATTATCTGAGGTCTGGGGGTAGGGGAAATGGGCAGTTTTAGCTTCTGATGGGAAGATTATAATTTTGAAGGATTAAAAATATCCCTCCCACTTTAAGTACCAACTAGTATGAAGTGGGCAAGAAAAGTACATTGAGGCCTTGAAATTTAAGTGACAGAAATATCATTACTTGGGAGGGGGAAATTTTCTATCTAGGACTTTATCCCAGACTCACTGACAGATTTTTTTTAAAAAAAATCTTTAAAGACCTCTGTCTGACTGTGCTCACCCCTGACCAATCCTCTACTTCTGTGGTTCCCCAACCCTGGGGGGCCACAGAGCTCCACCACACCGCATCCCCCTCCCCTGTCCTGTCCGTGGAAAAATTGTCTTCCCTGAAACTTAGGAAGTGGGGGAGTTGCACAACAGGAGGTGAGCGGCAGGCAGGTGAGTGAAGCTTCATCTGTATTTACAGCCACTCCCCTCCCCATTGCTGGTATCACCCCAAATACTTGGAAAAATTGTCTTCCATGAGACTGGTCCCTGGTGCCAAAAAGGTTGGGGACCACTGGTGCTCTATGTCACAGCCTGGGAAGCCTGAGGAAGGATAAAAATGAGACTGCTGAAGGTATTGTCTCAACTTTCAGGTCCCAGGCTGAGAGTAATTTGATTGATAACTTTCACTGTAGTGGAGGAGGTGATTATTATTTCATTTTATTTTATTATTATTATTATTTTTAGAGACAGGGTCTCACTTTATTGCCCAGGCTAGGCTGCAGTGGTGTGATCATAGCTCACTGCAACCTCTAGCTCCTGGGCTCAAGTGATATTCCTGGCTCCCCTATAGCTGGTACTACAGGCTCGCGCCACCACACCTGGTCAAATTTTTTTTTTTTTTTTTTTTTTTTTTTTTTTTATAGAGAAAGGGTCTCACTTGTTGCCCAGGCTGGTCTCGATCTCCTGGCCTCAAGCAATCCTCCTGCCTTGGCCTCCCAAAGTGCTGAGATTACAGGTGTGAGCCATTCTGCCCAGCTGCCAATTAATGTAATTCTCATCTATTTATGGTCTTCAGCTGAAGTTCTTTGTTATCAAAAAAGGTGGGTTTCAGGTAGATGGGGTTCAGGTATGTGAGTCACCTGGATTAAGTCTATTTAAGTGAATGTAGAGGTTGGTCAGTTGTTAGCATTGTTACTACGTAACTGCAATACGCAAGATTCTTAAGGATCTTGGCTCTCATTCTGATTTAAGAAGATGTAAAGAAAGGACTGGAGAAATATGTTTTCAGGGTCTTAACAGAGAGGACTCCAGTACCTTTTTCATCAATATCCATGTTCAAAATCCCAGAGAAAATGCGAGATGATGCTGTGTTATGTGCTGGGCCAAGGATACTCTCTAGAGTTTCTAAGCCTGACTTCTAAGATATAGTTAAGAGCCCAGGCTTTGTGGTCAGACAAATCTGGGTTTACATCTCAGCTTTGCCACTGCTTTTGACAATTTACATAATTTCTCTCAGCTTCCATCTGTAAAATGAAGATACGTTAGGAAGCTACCTCAGGAGGATATGTTAGGATAGCACAAGATGAAGTACAGTATGTAGTGCACCTGATACAGTGCCTCATGCATAGAGGGTGCTCAGTAAGTGGTGACTTTTAGCTGTTCCAGAGCCAAATTCTAATGATCCAGGGAAACATACCAGCTAGCGGTCTGCTTGACATGATGTTTACAGCTATTTATGCAGACAGACACTTATGGGTACAGCAGAAGAGAAACATTTTGTCCCACTAGCGCTGATCTCAGCTTCTTTTTTCTTGATTTTTTTTTTTTTAAAAAAGCAACATTTCTTCTCATATGGATTTGGGTCTTTTTTCTAGGGAGACCAAAGAAGGGGGAAGAATTATTGTGGAACTTGATGGAAAAGTGGCAAAAATCAGGAATTTAAAGGTAAGCCTGAAATTGTTTTCCATTTTCTTTCCACCTGGGAGCTAGTATTATTACAGGGACTTCTGGGGTGGAGGTGTGTATGTGAATGTGTTTAGAGTTGGGAATGGAAGGGTATATAAGGGGAATTGTGGGAAGAGTTTGGACTAATCATAAAGCAAAGTAAAAAATAAACCAAGAAATAAGTGCAGGGCATTTGGTTGCTATAGCCTAAATTCTATCAAATGGGGCATAACTGTTTTGGAAATTGGTTGGTAGCTGCTTTGAAAGTAAACACGGGATGTTATGGGGGCCACGGTTAGCTTAAATCATGCTGGAGGCAATCTACATGTCTATTTAACTCACCTGATCATCGGTTAGACTTTGTCCCAACCCTTTCAATTGATATCACTTCAGCTAGAGGCATTATTAGGAATTCAGTATGCACCTGCTAATGCAGGGTTCCTTTTGGCCATAGTGAGGGCCAAGTAACAGCCTTCAGATCCTGGAAGGGAGTCGGTCACTAGCCTTAGTCTTGTTGCAAATTGTCTTTCATGGATCTGGCTGAATTTTGAGTTACAATTGGGCAAACACAGAGAACTTCCTCTTACACCCTTCACCTCCTTTTAGGGCTAATTTTTTCCACCCCATTTTTCCATTTACCAAACCAGCAGAAGATGGAAGGGATTCTTCCTTTCTGGGCCTTGGGGAGTGGAGAGAAGACAGGGGAAGCTGACCATGTAACCACCGCTATAGTCAGCTTGCAGGTGGTGGTAGTTAGCATTCCTGAGAGCTGAGGAAACTGGCAAAAGCGAGGGTTATTTGGACCTCAGGCCTAAAAGCCATGCCCACTTTCGTGTTACTCCTGTGATGCGATCTGTTTCTTTTTGCCAGTAGCTCTCTGCCAAAAGAGAATAGGACCTGCCAAACTATCAATTGGCGTTCCGCAGGGACAAAGGACCTTTTATTGTCTCCTGTCTCTTATTTATCTGTTTCCTAATTACTTCAGCTGCTTTGTTCTGAGAGCTCATATTTTTGGTTCTTAAGAATAAATCTCAGTCAAGATCAAACTTTAACCTGCCCCCTACACACCTCCCTGGGGCTGCTTACTTCCCTGATGTCAATTATCTACTAAGAATCTCTTAATCATTCTGACAGCGTCATCCGTCGGTAGTTTATGATGGTTCGTGCCAGGATTGTCTTTCCCTGTCCAGAGTGTAAATTTGAAGTAGTTAAGGCATTTCCTGTGAATAATGCCATTTTCCCCAGTACCTGGAGGTCCATGCAATTCTAAGCTGTGGCTCTACCTTCATCTACCTTGAGCAGTTGGATTGCTCCTGGCTCTTCTGTCAAATGTGGTTTCTAATTTACTGGGGGTGAATACCCCAGGGACCTCAATGAAATCCCTAGGTCGATGGAGCCTGTCAGGCCCAGGGGTTGAACCGCTCATGCATTCCCAATATCCTCTGCAGAAATACTTAGAGAAGAAATAATACAGGTTGAACATCCGTTATTTGAAAATCTGAAAACTGAAATGCTGCAAAATCTGCAACTTCTTGAGTGCTGACATGACCCCACAAGTGGAAAAATTTCATACTTTACCTCATATGAAATGTTGCAGTCAAAATGCAGTTAAAACTTTGTTTCATGCACAAAACTATTAAAAATATTATATAAAATTACTTTCAGGCTATGCGTATAAGGTATCTATGAAACATAAATGAATTTCCTGTATAGACTTGGTTCCCATCCTGAAGTATCTATGAAACATAAATGAATTTCCTGTATAGACTTGGTTCCCATCCTAAAGGCATCTCATTATGTATACACAAATATTACAAAACGCAAAAAATTCTGAAATCCACAGTATCTGAAACACTTTTA